TGACATGTTATAGAGATTTAAGAGATAACAGCTGAATGACGGCCATTGTTTTAAGAATGTCACTTGTTAGACGCTTTTATCCAAAGCGACTTACAAAGCCCTCAACAACCAGGCCCCCCCCTACCTCACAGACCTGCTGCACCACCACACCCCTTCCCGCTGCCTCCGCTCATCAGAAGCCAACCTCCTATCCATCCCCACCCGCACCAATCACCGGACCTGGGGGGACAGAGCCTTCTCCGTCGCTGCCCCCTCCCTCTGGAACTCACTCCCCCAACCCATCAGAGTGCACCGACCTCACCACCTTCAAAACACTCACCTCTTCAATCTGGCTTTTCATGTGTGATTGTTTTTGTATTATTTGACTTTAACTTTAACTATATATGTATTTGTTGTTCCTTTCTTCTCTTTTCTTTCTTTCTTCACTATTATCTGTAAAGCGTCTTTGAGCACCTGTAAAAGCGCTAACAAATTAAATCTATTATTATTATTATTATTACACACATTCAGTACTGTGGACATTCCCCACAGGAACAAATTGGGGTGAAGTGTCTTGCCCAAGGACACAACGACATGCTGACTGCTGTGGGGCTCAAACTTGCTATCCTCTGATTCAAAGATCAGCGCACCAACCCACTGAGCAGTAACCCACTGAGCCACAGCCTTCCCTTAATGTGCCCAGTGTACATGGCAAACATGTAGGTGTAGCAGCAGGGGGCAGCTTACAATTCGTAATGTAACTGATTTTAAAAGATGGTGATTACAGACAGTACCACAGTTGTTTTACCTCACTTGCTCTCAGTGACCACTCCTTCAGACCGGCTCGTTGTCCCTGGAGCGTTTTTGAGAAACTCAGTGACCATGAGAACATGGCACAAACTTAACCCGTCTGTGTTTTTGTTTCTATTGCAAGCAAATAACCTCAGAATTAATCAGCCTCTAGGCATGAATCACATCTTTAAATCACATTTATGGCAGAATAAAAAGTAATCAAGCTCAAAATGTGTTCCAAATATAAATGTGTCCAACAGGTTACACTGGGGAAATGGTTACTCATCCGTTTAATGCACTAACAAACTCCCAGCGTCACACTCCCTCTCCGGAGCGCATTAAACTCCTGCTGGTTCCTCTTCTGACGGCGAGACATATTGGATCAGTTTATGAATACTGAGTGATCGTCAGTGGTATAAAAATAAATACCGTTCAAATTGTACACATTTATATTAGAATGGTGATGGGATCAGTTTATAAATGTAATCTCTGAGACTGAAGCAGAAAACAGCATGCTGAGTATACTGTTGTGGCAATTATGCTAGTCTACCAGAGCGATAACAAATGTGGAATACTTTATTCTAAAAATGATTGCAAGGTTTTGTCGCCTTAACGACTGTCCTCTGTAGTGCATTTCAATTCATTTATGTTTGTATTTGTTTTTACAAAGTTTGTGGCAAACTATGAATATGCCATCTCAAATGTAGCTACAGCAATACAATATTTTGAGAGTTGAAGCTCTACATGTCAAAATGACTGCATTAACAAAGCGTGCATCCCACCAAAATGCAATCTTACATAGAGCACTTAGAAATAGAAAACAAGACTTTGTAGTCTGACAAAATAAGCAGTTACCTAATATATTTAATTCAATTAAAGGTGACCTATCATGCAAAATGCACTTTTGTACGTCTTTTATACATGAATATGTGTCCCCGGTGTGTCAGGGAACTCACCAAGTGTCAGAAAACACAACCTTCTCTCTTTTCCTCCATACCCAAATCTCTAAAAACGGGGCTGCAACGGATCTGATACAGACTGATCCAGATTTGAAAATTCTCTGACGTCAGAGAATATCAGAGAATATATGGCCAACTCTCCACCTATCAGGGGAATGAGAGGTTGCCGTGGCATGGTAACAGCATGGTAACAGCATGGTAACATGACGCTCGTGCCACGCCCCCTCCTTTGCAGGGGGGCGTGGTCAGCTGCAGCGCCTGCAAAGACAGGGCTGGAGGAGAGCAAAATAGAGCGAAATGAGGCATGGCTAAAATGCATGATCTGTTTGGTATTTTGAAAAAAAACAACGTATAAATATACCTTGTATAGGCCCTACAATATATTATTCAAATATAGCATGATAGGTCCACTTTAAGTGAGGAATATCTTGCAGAAATGCATACATTTTTACTGATTTGTATGACAAAGATTAGCTGTTTCCTCCTACTTCAAGTGCTCTCGTAAAGCTTTGTTAAAGACTGAGTAAGATTGTTATATTTTAGAATATTTATAGTATTTAAGACTGTGTTGCAATTCACATGAAAGAGACATGAGATCATAAATGATATATTGATGCTGTTTGGTATGGATTTTGATTTTGTAAAACACAACAAACTAAATGTTTAATCTCATGAAAACAGTCCTTCGATCAGCACGGCTTCAGGGTGTTGAGGCTCAGGTGGAAGTATCAGTGTTTCTGCTGATGGGGCCCCGGGGGACCTCATAGCTTCATCACTGTGATTAAATCCTGCAGTCACTGGTCCCTATGGGCCTTAATGGCCTAATGAGAGGAGCTTGGTGAAATCCATCAGGCAGCGTTCCCTTTGAAGGTCTCTGCATTACACTCATGTTTTCAATTCGTACAGGAAATATACATACATTAATAAGGAGAAATATAGCATTGTTTGATAGTAGAGAAGTTCAGTTAAGTATGGTTTCTTCTGGAAGACACACTTATGCATTCGTATGTTGGGCTTTGTGGCTATTTTTGCTGTCACATTGTATCTAACCCTTAACCTCTTGGGTTTAGTCCCGAGTGTGACTCAGCTGCAGATCCTGGCTCCTTTGCATGAGGTTGTTGCCTCCTCATTGATTTCAATCATGCAATCAATACCAGATTAAATAATCAATCACGACAAATCACCTTCAATTCCCTTAAATGATTTACGGTATGTAGATTTGTGTTGAAGCTTTAGATACCAGATATAATGTAGAGCTGTTGAAGGTTGTGTTGTTGTGTTAGTTTTTCATGCAAGTGTTTGTGTATGTTAAGATTAAAGACAATGTGTTTATTGTAACATGTAGGTATGACTGTTGGGAAAGACCGTCATAGTTTGAATAAAACATCACGGTACGGTCAATCTGGTGTTACTTCTCTGAAGTCTCACCTTTGATATTGGACACCTTGAGATATCATACTGCATCATATCTCTTTGCAAGGTGCTTAACGTGTTTATGTTTCAGATAATAAGCTTAGTTTCTTATCCAAACCAAGACCTCGTTAAGTTATGTATTGGGGTTTTAACTGATTACATCTGAACCAATAAAACTACTGTAATATATGCAAATCTTAACACACAATCTGATTTGTGTTAAAGGAGTGCAAGATTCCCATCAGGAGAAGATCATCACAGTGTCTGGAGAGGGGATGGTCCACAGCCCAGACTTCCCACACCGTTACCCCAGGAACACTGAACTGGTCTGGAGACTAGTGGCGCCCATTAACATGAGGATCCAGCTCACCTTCGATCAGAGGTTCGGTCTGGAGGACCCCGAAGATGGCATATGCAAGTAAGACCATGCAGTAGTATATTTGTAATTGTCTCTAAATACAAGATAATATATGAAATATATATTTTGCCTTACAATATAAAGCAATAATATATATTGTATTTGCAGGACTGTGACCTCATCTTATCAGTGTTCTATTCACTAACTTTCTGATCAATAGGAATAAGACAATGTAAACTTATTTAAAAGTGAAGTGTGTATATTATTATAATGAATCCTATAATTGTGTAAGATGCTAGCATCCTTTATCCCATCTTTCTAGGCCAATGATATGTGAGCAGGGTCTTTCTCACTGAACAAATATGCCAACCTATATGTATTTAAAATAATCCCTTTTATATTCTCTCAATTAAATTGTTCTTCGTCACACATGAGTTATCTATCACAGTGAACAGTTTTTCATTAAAAGTGTCCTCTGCTAACCCAGCTCCCATCTAATGGGGTCTTTCCCAGGTTGGCATGGCAGATGCATGTGGGGCCAGGTCAAAGACGTGTCCTGTCTTTCTGCTCGTCCACTCTCAAAGATTTAGAGTCCAGAGTGTGGCCATTTGTGAAATTGCCTCTGGTCTGCAGTGGCAGCTCGTGAATATTGAAAACCCAGCGGTAGCAGTGATTTGTTTCACAGAGGAAACCGTTATGAGGTTCAGATCTGCCGTATTTAACATGATGTAGCTGATATGTTTAGCTGCTCAAGTGATTGTTTAAACGACACGTGCCACAGCCTCTGACTGATATCACATAAAACCCAAACTCACACATACTGTACATCCTCTGCTTTATTAAGGAGCCCACTTTCAATTATGGGGTTGCCTCTGTTGCCATTCAATTCAAACAGGGATCCCGAGCCCCTTGAATCGATTTACCCTCAGAGCATTATGCTCAGTGCCTTCTGTCAATATATCACATCTGACTGGTTAGCATGGAAGGAGTCCAATCACTGCGAGGTGGAGAAGAACTGGGGGAGGGTGACCTCGCTAGTCATTCCTGGAGAGCCCCCTAATGGAGGACAAGGGGAATGACAGTTCACAGGTTTGTGTTGGATTGTTGAAAATGCAGAGGAAGAATCAGTATACTTCTGTTCCAATGACAGTTTGTGTGCATTAAAGAACATTGATGATACATGAGGTGTTTATGATTCTGACTTTGAATTCTGGTTGAAGATGGGTTTTACTTAGATTTACTTGTTTGTTGATGTTAATTGTGGTGCCATCCAGGATACATGACACCTGTTTCTGGAAGTGATGACAACAGTATGTGAGTGCAAGCCCCCCTGCTCTGTGTATATTGACGGATGAGGTCAGTGTTTATGTTGAGACCCCGTGAGAGAAAGTTCCACAGTGGGTGCAGATTGACAGACGACCCGGAGTCACACCCCTCCTCCCTTTTTACAGTTTCGTCCTCCGTCCTCTGCACGGTCTGAACGTACTGGGACCTTTTACCCACAACAATAACCAGATAGCCGTCGTGGAGAGGGAGTCCTTGCGACTGTACACGGCCAGGAACATCTCAGTCTTGTNGAATGCAGCATGCAATCGCAAGCAGACACACATTCACACGTCTCCTTACTTGTCTTTTCTCTCACCCTCTTTCCTTCTTTTTCTCCCATACGCATTCTCCGTCACACACACACACACACACACACACACACACACACACACACACACACACACACACACACACACACACACACACACACACACACACACACACACACACACACACACACACACACACACACACACACTCAAATTGAAAAGCCTCAGGCCAAGTCTGCATATCTTTCATGTGTGATAACATTTTTAAATGTTCACAACATCTCCCCAGTGTTACGGAGAAAAGCATTCATACACAAAGTTATTGATGCACTGCTCTTAGCCTGGTGCCAGTGCACAATATAATGCGTGAAAACAAGACCCTGATCTTTTGTCCGGTGATTTAAAGCGATGGCAGGAGATAAAACAAACCGTAAGAGATGTGTTCGGCTTTACGAGCAAGCCTGGAGCGAGAAGCCTTCGCTAAGATGAGAGCGAGGCTGTGTAGTCGAGTTGCTCATCTGCAATTCTGTTTGTCTGTTGCACGATGAAAAGCATTCTTACCAAATCCACTGGAGGAGAGGCATATTGGAGAGGGATTGGTCTTGCCGGTTGGCATGGCAGCAGAGTCGTGCTTGACGGCTCACAGACAGGACTGTTCTCAGAAAGGCATTTCTTCTCTCCGTCTTTACTCTAAAAGAAGAGGACTAAAAAACAGTGTTTGTGTTGCTAATCTGCATCGTGTCAGAGCTAGATATTGTGTCTATCCATAAAATACAAAAGGAGAAACTGTAGGGGAAAGCTTTGTGAATATTAAACTCAGTTTGCTTGCAGTGTGAAGGAAGGTAATCCTATCTGCCAGCAGTGTATACGACTCCTTTGTTGTTCCGATCCCGTTCACTGTGACTGTACGTACAGTTTGGTATGTGTGTCAGTGCATTTGTAAGTCTGAGAAACCACTGTTCGACATGGTGATTCTGAACACATGGCGACGTGTAATGATCAGGGAGTCCTGCATTATTGATGAGCCATCTGTCAGAGCTCTGGGTCTGTCTCAGACGAAAGCTTCCCTCGTCATTGACCTGCATTTAGAAGGCAAAGAGAATCTGAGCTGATATTTTATCCCTTTACAAAACCATTTCATGCCAGTCTGGTTTACATTTGTATAAAGGAATGTTTTATAGTTCATGCAGTTTTCTAACATTTGTACATTTAAACTGAATATATGGTTTAAGTTTATTTGTGCAGACTACAAACTTCCAGTATAACTTTCCAAATCAAACGCAGCAGAGTCAGTAAATGTATCGACACTCCTGCCTTTCAGTTTATTTAACATCACAGAAAATCCATTTTTAGTCCCGCTCATGTCCCTCATGTTGTTTTATCGAAACCAGCCTGAACTGAATCTGTCAAGCCTGCGCAAAATGTAAACAATGTCCTAGAAATCCAAATATCCGAATTGGCAGCACTCAATGAGAGGCTAGCGTGCCTGTTGACGCAAATGGCAAAGTGATTAATCCCAGACTGTGAAGAGTCACTGAAACAAGGCTGTATTGAATGCAGGGCAGCCACTGGTTACACACAGGTATACATAATAAAGACTGAACTTGTGAACTGCGTGTCTTAAGTGCTGAGGTCGGGCGATGTTAGCCTTGGCACACCAACAGAGTCTGGAGCAAGGCCATATACTTCTGCACTTAATATACTGGGATTATGGGTTTGAAGGGCCGCCGGTGAAGAGAGAGACCGTCATGTTGATGCAGGGTCGAAAAGTTAGATCCGCACTTCAAGCAAAATGTTGCTTTTGATGATATTTCACTCAATTTATTTCATATCAGCATTTAGTTTAGTGAAATTCACAGTACTGAATTTGTTTATGTATCATTATTTATGTAGGTATTGAATAGGTTGCTTGTGAGCCAGATAAATATAAACTCATTACATGATTTAATATGGCAATGTCAGGTTATTGAGGTTGAGTTGTTGAAAGTGGAAATAGAAATATGAAAGGATAAAATGGCTGAGATAAAAGTGCATTATTGCAGAATTGGTTCATGTTGACTATTAAGCAAATAAACAACTTATTTGTATATTAATAAAAGTACAGAGATTGACAGACCAACACAGTCAACATACAGTCAAATGAGCTCAATGTTTAATTAAAAACGATATGTCAATGACAACATGTAGCATCAGTGTAATAGGCCTGTCAAAAGGCTGCATCAGCACCAATAACCGCTCAACAGTAGAGCAGCTGCTTATTCTGCACTATCAACCAACCTGAGATTTGTCCTCACTACACTGGCAATATCCAGCTCATTTCTATTCATTTAAATTAGGCAGTAAATAAGAAACAACTCTCTAGCAACTTGTAATTGTAACTTGTTTTCTTTCTTCTCTTTAATGAGGTTAAACTTTATTTCCCTGTGCAGCTTTACTGATATTAACAATTTCACCTTCAGAGGGGTAAGGCAGGGCTGATGAAAACAACATGATGGCAACATGCTGAAACACAGTTTGAGAGTGTGGTAATAATCTGTTCTGACCTTTCAAATCCACAATGCACCACTGCTAACCAGAAGGACCTTACATTAACTCTGAGCACTTTGCTACGATGCAAGTTATAGCAATTGGCTAACCCTGGCCCACATAGATATTTCATTTAGTGTCAAACATTTTAAGCAATTAATATTTTTCTTCATCATTTCCAGCATATATAAGTGAGATGTTGCCACACATTCTTATGCCAGTTGTGCACAGATGTAATTAGAGCAATCCTCCTGTAATCAGACCACAAATGATGCATGTCTATATCAGGTTTAAACAGGGTCTGGTGAGACTCAACTAATCAGTTTCTGCACCTTGTGTGTCTCACTTCACCAGGTACGACTTTGTGGAGTTAGAGGACCTGACCGAGAACAGCATCCTGGGTCGCTGGTGTGGGTCACAGTCGGCTCCAGCTAGTCTCACTTCCAAAGGCAGTCAGATCAGGATCCGCTTCATGTCTGATGAGTACTTCCCCTCTGAGCCGGGATTCTCCATCCGCTACTCCCCTCTGCCTGTGGTACGTACAGTGTCAATAGTCTGGAGTTTATTTCTGAATTTTTATTTTAAAGGTCACCTATTTCCCCTTTTTCATGTCTTTTATACATCAACATGTGTCCCCTCCCCTCTGTGTAAAGAGATTCTGAAAGTTTCAGGAAAAAAGATTCTCTCTCTTTTTGTCCTGATCCATTTCTATAAAAACCTGTCTGAAAATGAGCTGATCAGATTTTGACCACTTTATGATGTCATAACGATTTTTGTGGCTTGTGTAACCATTAGCCAATCACCAACCAAGATAACCCCCCCCCCCTTATCCCCTGAATCTCCTCCTAGAGCACCATTGAGTTCTGTTTAACCAAATCTCTCTCAGAGGGGCGTGGGGAGGGGCTCCTTATTTTCATCTAAAGTAACAGACAGAGAATCAGCACTTTGGAAACAGGACTGAAACAGAGGGGATTATGGGATGCTGCAATGATCTGTTTGGTGTTTGGAGCCAAACACTTCAGAGACATGTTCGTATATATCTGAGAGCTATAATATATCGATGAAAAACAGTGTAACAGGGGACCTTTAAGATGTTGAGCGCTTAGCTGCTTCTTTGCCAACTTCAGGGAGTTCCCATGCCAGTAAGCAAGGCTCCTCCATGCAAGCACAATTAAAAATGATTAGCTTGTTGTTACATAACTTGGTGACTTAACATGTGTACAAGAGGTTTAAAGCATTGTTGAAGGATAAATTATGTTTGAGCACTTCAGACCATCTGGCACCTGCACCATTTTACACAAAATATCAAATCTTAAAATGAGCATAATAGGGTCCCTTTAAACGCAGATGAAAGAAAATGTCCACAACCTCTGCAAATGCACAGTTACAGTAAGACCCTAATATCATGTCTGAGTTGTCCTTTAAGGATTCAAATTGTGTATACTGGACCCTGGTATAGTCCCACAACGCCACACAGAACACAGTGAAAAACAATCTTTAAAGTTCAAATGGTCTCGAAATCGCTGTAATTTTCTCATTTTCTGGGGTCAGTCTTTTATATAAGATGTTAAATGACCTTATATACTCTATTTATTACTGTTCTATATAACACCACATACCCTGGCAACCTGCTATGTACCTTTTAGATTCAGTGGGACAGACGGGTGTGTCAGAGTCCCTGATGGTGTTGCTTGTGATGGAGAAAATAAAACGGCTTCACGTTCACAAACGTACCCTCAGGGGGATTCATTCAATCCTCTGAAATGAAAGTAGGAATTAAGAGATAGAAGTGCTTTCTTTGTCGGAAATTGGCAGGCCGCTGTCTGTCCGTCTCACTTTCCCCAAGTTTTATCATCACATACAGTACTGAGAACTCAGAAGTAATATCCCCTTTCATGTGTTTTAACAGTACCCTACTTCACAAAGATACCCCATGTTATTTGACTCTTTATGTAGGACTTAAATATATACAGTATTTTAGTCACAAACAACCTGTTGTTCTTTCTGCTCTGTCCTGTTATTTCTCTTGTCTCCTGTAACATACTGTAGATTATAAATGCTAGTTCCATCCCTTGTGAATCTTGGTTTCCATTCCCCCCCTTTAAATGTTTGGCATAAGCTGAAACTTTCCAGTGTATCAAAAGCTTTGGCAAAGACCAGTGGGAAGCTCAAGAATTCAAAATGTGAATGGTACTAAAGGAAGATGGTCTTGTTAGCATATTCCTTTAGTTCCTTCCCTCGTACTGTACTTGACCTCAGTTCGACATTAGCCTGATAATCAGACTCAAAATAAATCATGTTTCGCTTTTCAGCCTGCCATCTCGTTCATGTTCTCTCGGTTATCGTCCTTTATTCAGTTTTTGTTCTTGTACAGTTGCATCAATCCCATACATACTTTATGCCATTTGAAGCTGAATAAAAGATGTCATATTTCTGCGTACAGCTACAGTACATGTGAGGTTGGATTACAAAACACACAGACTATTTGCGTAAGGAGGTCAAGATTACCTTATCAGAAAGAAAGAAAGTTATTCGGCTCCTTCCTTTGTATTTTAATCAGTGAGACAGATCAGTTGTGCCTCCAACAAAGGCTTGCATAACTACTGTGAAAAATGCATGACAAAATGTTCTGAAAGACTTCTTCGCCTGCGTACTTCTTGCCATCTTTGTCTCGATCCAGCCTCTCCCTATTCCACATTCTCTTTCACTGTCAAGCTGTTTCTGTCCTGCTCTTCAGACCACACACACAGACACAATCCCTCCGTCCCTGATGCTTTCACAGACTAAAGCCTTGAGATAAACTGAAGAGACGACTGCCGTGTTTTAACCTGTCATGTCTTAGTTCTGTTCACTTGCTTTAAGTAAACATCTCTACTCCTCATTAATCCCTAATGGCCTGCAGCACTGTGAAATCTGACAAGCACAAATAGGCAACTGAGGTCACTGATGGCACTTTGTATTCTGTCTGTAACTTTGTTTTATGCTTCAAAAGCTTTTTAGTTCTCTCATCCTTTATACACATTATTGTTGCATGCTTTCTTCACCCTTAAAACACAAAACAACTACCATGCTGAGTGTCATGCTGGGTATCAAAGCTGTGTTTCTCAAAAGACATCTGTGTTCAAAGTTAAAAGTTAGTCCTTACATACCAACTTCTTGTGGGAGAGCCAACACATTTTCTTGAGTTATAGCAGACTTCTTACTAGGTTACTTATTCTTCTATCTCCACTGAGGATAATCGTTATGATTGAATTGCATGGAATTGGACCGTATATTTTTCCCCCAATCGGCTCAGTAGACTGTGATGTAAGATACATGAGCAAGGCTTTGCTTTATCTAATGGAGAAGGATTAATCCAATAAGTCACTACAACAAGGAGTTATTCGATTTCAAATTCCCTGAAGTGGAGTAAAGTGTTTAAAGAACAATTCATTGGTTTTATTTTTATTTAAGCAGCAGTCTGCTCCATAGTCTTGAGCCGGAACATTCCTCAGCATTGTCTTTTTAATACACATTTTCCCCCTTAATTATTATGTTTTGCATTGTTTGAAATGTCTCAATCATAGTGCTAATACATTACCATAGTTTTGGCGCCCTGAAGTTAATCAAGTAAATACTATTCCAAAATGTCAAGGCACAAATGAAAGGGCTTTATAACTCATACAACAGCCTCATCAACAGTGGTGGACTGGCCATCAATCCCGATGGGCCGGTACTGAAGTGGGCCGTTCGGACGATGTGGGCCGGTCGGATAGATCACTAGCAGCCCGTCCCCCCGTCCCCCCGTCGACAATTCACTAGCGGGATATACTAGCGGTACCTAATTGGGCCGGTCGGATAAGTCACTAGCACAGCCGGCGGTACCAAAGTGGGCTGGTCGAGATTTTTAGTCCCAGTCCGCCCCTGCTCATCAATTAAGGTAAGGACAATCCCCTTAAAACATGTTTGACATTTTAATTGAATTTCAAACCTTTTATTTAACGAGATTGGTCCCATTGAGATCATAGATCTCTTTTTCAAGGGAGACCTGCAGCATATAGGTTCCACATGAAACATAAAACAATAAAGGACATCATACGTTATATTTACAGGATAAATTAACATAGTTATAGACATTTACAAGTGCCCATAGTATCAACGAGCATTTCATTTAGCCTAGCTTTAAAAACATGCAGAGGAATGAGATTGCTCAGTTTCAATTCTTGCTGAAGATTGTTCCAAGCAAGTGGAGCTGCGCACATAAAAGCTGTCTTACCGAAGACAGTCCTTGCTCTTGGGACATCTAACAATACTACATCATGCGATCTACATAACAATTAGGAACCCTGATGACTCTCTTCCAAGAATAATGATAAAATGATTCCATACAGAAATAAAGTATATTAGCCAAACATAGGCAATATATAATTGCAAACATCAATCAAAAACAACATTGTGTAGCTTGTGACCCAAGATTTTCATCGTCATAACTACACTGTAGCTATGACCAATAAAAGCCTTGAACCTTGAACTTGAACGTTGAGTAATTTATGGGTGCTTGACAATAGTTTATAATGTCAGACATTTGAACTAGTTTTAAGTAAACTTAAGTACTCCACAAACAGTACACAAGAAAGTCGCTAAAGATTCGGGCTGAATAAAATAATCCAGCTGTATTTGCTAGTTTTCCATACAAACTCAACACATAATAGGTCCCAATAAAAGCATTGATACCCAGCCCTACCATGTGAAAATACAAAATGATATATCCCACACTGCAATGGATGTTTTGGATTGTGAAAGTCAAATGTCATTACTCTGCTATAGAAAGAAAGTTCTACTGGAATAAGAGACCGGGTTTGTTTTACTAATCCAGCTCTAAAAGGTGTAGAAACTATGAGGGGGGGAGGGGAGGAAGCTTTGGCCTCTGCACGTTCAGTCTGCCTTCTCTTTGAACTTTCCTCTGACAGTGAAGCAGCACGCTATAACAGCAGCACTCTGTTTCCTCTGTGGTCGACCGGCAGCTACTGGAACCCCGGCACTTTAGTTTATATTTAAACAAGCAATAATTCCTCCCCACCACTTCCATGGACGGCAAGGGGGGGCGGGGGGAATAAGACCCGGTCTGTAATTCACAGGAAGAGATTTTGGGAAAAGCATAAAAGAGCAACGCAAAGAGGTTGTTAAAATATAGAAGAGAAGGAGTCTGTTGAAGTGAGCCCGAGGGGTGTTGAGTGCTGGTTTGAAGGAGCAAACAAAACATACATCATTGTCTCTGTGAGGTCCCAATTCAGAATGAAATCTCGCTGCTACCTACGCATGGAGATCGCTCCACCAGCTTTGTTTATTTGAATGGAATGAAGTGAGTTTTACAGACTCCGACCTGCATTGAGGTAAAAAGGACAGTAAAAATAAAGCATATGGCAAAGACGTACAAGAGGCTTGCTGTTGGCATTATGTAACTGAGGTCTGTTTTTACACCAACCTAAATTGTAGTGTGGTGCAAGCGAGAGTAAATAACACTTTCTTCACGCACAACAGACCTTGTTGCTTACTCTTGTGCAAGGAAGCGGTTTGCAACTTCATATGAAGGAGAATATATTGTTTTCCAGAGCTCTCCCAAGATACTATTTCAGAAGTCTCATCTCAACATAGTTAGCTGAACCTGTCATTTTAGGTACCAGAAATAGGAGTGTGTGGTCGTCCTGTGTCAGAACAAAGAGAGCTGAAAATGAAGTAATTAGGGCTGGAAAAGAAGGTTATTTCTTGAGGGACAGGGGGTTCAGAGAGTTTGGCAGCGATAACAGGTCCATTAAATGCTTTCACACCTTCTGTCCAAGGTCAACAAGAGGAATAAAAAACATTCAGCTTTTGACTATTGGAAGCTGTGTTGCCTCTTTTCAAAACGGTTGTACATTGTAATCTTGTGAAAAGTACAGCCATTATATCTGCTTAAATTGCAGTATGTTATTATAAATTAAATAATATCTGCCTATTATTTATACAATTGGACATAGACTGCAGCTAACAGGAAAGCAATTGTCTAAATGCAGTTAAGAACTATCATATTAGCAAAGATGTAAAAACACATGTGAGCTATTTCTATGCAGAATTAGAAAATAAAGGGTTTTAATTGAGTTCTTGATCAGCATCAGCAATCAGGCATTTGAGAGGTGAGATAGGGATTACCATCACTAAATACATCACATCAACTTCTTAGAAACAAAAGGCCTTAAAATAATCTACACAGTGTTGGCCATTGTTACATTATTGTACACCATTTTTCATGAAGAAGACCAATAGATTCATAATTCATGTTGTCAGACGCCTTGTCCGTAAGAAAATACCTGTAACAGGACCTGGACCGACCCGGTTCCAAAATACATCTGTCATCTCAACATCATGTCATCACTGCCTAATTAATGCAAAACAACATCAAATGTAGAGCTTTTAAGCTGTTTTGATTGTTTTCACTATATAACTCAAACTCTTACATCTTGAAATACATTCAATATGTATCTAAATGTGTCAAATCATCTATCTAAATGTATAAACCCACTTTTTTCAGCTTATGCCAATACCATGTGCTCATCAATTCCTAATGTGTAAAACATGTCATGTCAAGTTGGTGGTCCATTTAAGTACTTTGTTTGTGAAAGTCTTAAACAGGAGCTCTCATCTGCTTCGTATATCTTTATTAACACCATGCTGATGTGTCTCTGAAGAATAGCTTGGCTTCTTTATCTGGGGCTGACGCTAATTGGGGGAGTGTTGCACCATCGACATTCACAAGCTGTTAATGGCTTCCAGTCCGCACTGTAAGCCACCGCCAACACTCAACTAATAGGAATCACAACTTTTTTCTGTTGTCTGGAAAAACTCTGCTCAGAGAAATAACTTTTTTATAATTTACTGGTTTTACATATGACCACCTGGGCGCCTCCCTAGGGAGGTGTTCCAGGCACGTCCAGCTGGGAAGAGACCGAGGGGTAGACCTAGGACCAGGTGGAGGGATTATATCTCTTCACTGGCCTGGGAGCGCCTTGGGATCCCCCAGTCAGAGCTGGTTGATGTGGCCAGGGAAAGGAACGTTTGGGGCTCTCTGCTGGAACTGCTACCTCCGCGACCCGACCACGGATAAGCGGGAAAAGATGGATGGATGGACGGACATATGACCAGTCCGTTTTCCATGAGTTTTATTTTCACATTTGGTCTGTTTACCTAAGAAGGTGCCAAACAAACCAAAATATGTTCAGTGGTTATGAAGGCAGCCTCATTAGAGTGAGTCAAACATGTGGCACAGCTGTATTTCTGTAGCCTGTGGTGCAGCCATGTCAAACCACTGGCATCTTATTTTAAAATCTAAGACAAAGGGACTTAAGTTTGTCTGTATTACATGGACCTCTGCTGTCAATAAAGGTTGGTTGTTATGTCTTGCACCTTTTTATTCAATGTAAAAATCCCAACAATGCGAATTGTGCCTCGGCAGGCCGTAAAAGGCATACTTGGCTCTACTGGTGGTTAATAAAGAGAAAACACTTTGGAATAAAATATTCTAAGCCACTTGATGGATAACCTTTCAATATGTGACATGAAATATAATGATATAAAATTCAGATTATTGGTATAATTTCTTCTTTTCTAACATGTCTGCTGCCCCAAAAGCTCAAAGAGGCAGCTGCTAGCAGCGGATGTTTTCAATGGCTGAACGTTTCTTTTATTTTTTATAAGTGTCACATTGTTGCCTTCTACCTGTCAGTCACATGAGATTAGAGCGAGCGTCGAGCTGACACGTTGGACAAACGCAGCATTGCCGGATGAGCTTTAACAGATTAGTCTCTTCTTTCGTGGGAAGACCGACACCCCAGATATCATTCTCTCTGTGACAGCACGCTGTAGCCTGGAGGGCTGGGATTCCAAAACAAATAATACTGCCGCTTAGGGAGCTAAAGGGACAAATTATGTAATGCAAAGTAAGCAGAGAAGGTGACAGAGTTGAGATAACATTTGACAACTTGATTTTGTTGCCCTCTCAATGCATTGCAATATTTTGGTTATCATATATTCCTTGTTGGAGTTCAGATGCATGATGACCTTTTTGTCTCGACACGTTTTTTCACTGAGGCAGGCACACACTCATATTTCCCACAGTCTCCCGGCAGTTGTTTACATCAAGAATTGAACAATAAATAAGTTGAAGTTTTATATTTCTCAAATGTCTGATTCAGTTGGCAAAGTGTCGATGCATCGGCCAATGTGTGGATGCTTTCCATAAAATCAGTGTGTCTGTAATCTTCAGTCAACCCTTCCACACATTAGCAGGTCTAACACACAGAGCTTTAATTGGATCCCAGACGGCCTGGACGGTCATGGTTTCTGTTAACTCAACTCAAGTCCAAACCACTGTAGCATTTAATGAGCCGAAACACATTTTTACCACGACCTAAAATGAACCATTGCAGAGTTTCTTTTTATATCTCAACTGTTTTTCACATTGTCAAAATAAGGACATCTTGTCACTGCTGACAAAGTTGTTTCTTCTGTGTAATTTTCCTGTTAACGCTTTTGTATGTAATAAAAAACGGTCTGCTATGTAAGTATCCTGAAGCAGAACGTGGCTTTGCTACAGTTTGTGTCTTTCCTACAAGCATTATATGTCTCTCTCTTAGAGTAACTATATATCAAAAGTTGATGAAGCATTATATCCTGTGTAACTTTAAGGATAAATCTGTATTAGCTGAATGAATGACCTTTCTTTTCCGTCTCTATCCATCTCATCTGCCTTCCTGCAGAGTGTATCAGAGCCCGAAGTCCCCGCAGTCATCCCCCCGTCCCAGCAGGGGGTTGAGGAGCTGTCAGAGGCTGTGGCAGGGCTGGACAGCGTGGAGGAGGTCATGAAGTTCCTGGAGCCGGAGCGATGGCAGCTGGATATGGAGGAGCTGTACAAACCAACGTGGCATGTGCTGGGGAAATCCTTCCTCCACAATAAGAAGGCCAGAGGTAGGACACTTTCAAACTCATACATCACAATGGACATTACATGAGACAAAACATTTAAAGGTCCCCTATTATACTGTTTTTCATCAATATATTAAAGGTCTCAGATATATACAAAACATGTCTCTGAAGTGTTTGTCTCCAAACACCAAACAGATCATTGTAGCATTACCCATAATCCCCTCTGTTTCAGCCCTGTTTCAAAAGTGCTGATGGGGGTTACCTTGGTTGGTGATTGGCTAATGGTTACACAAGCCAAAAAATCGTTATGACATCATAAAGTGGCCAAAATCTCATCAGCTAATTTTCAGGTTTTTATAGAAATGGATCAGGACAAAAAGAGAGAGAATCTTTTTTCCTGAAACTTTCAGAATCTCTTTCCACAGAGGGGAGATATGTTCGTGTATAAAAGACCTGAACAAGTGGATTTTGCATAATAGGTGACCTTTAAGAAAGCTGCAAAGATTATTTCAAAGGGAAATGATTTTGATCATGTACTTTCTGTGTCTTTGAGGAGGAGCTGATCTAAATCTGTTGAGGGAGGAAGTGCGACTGTACAGCTGCACCCCACGAAACTTCTCTGTTTCCTTGCGTGAGGAGTTGAAGAGGACAGATGCCATTTTCTGGCCGAGCTGCCTCCTGGTGAAGCGCTGTGGTGGAAACTGTGCCTGCTGCTCTCACCGCTGCTTCGACTGTCAGTGTGCTCCTGCCAGGGTCACAAAGAAATACCATGAGGTGAATATTAACTTTATGAAATACGAGGGACATAGAACATTTGTATACATTTTCAGACATTTACAAGTTCAGCTGTTCAAGGAATTCCAGTTCAGAAGCAAACATAGGTTGAATTATACAATGACAAGAGGACAGCAAAGAACAGGGCTGGGTATGCTGGCTTACCCTATCTATGGTTTTATATATATAATAAAAAAACATGTGTGGCCTTTCCAACTTTCATTCTTTAACCAATATTGCACACAATTTACAGCCTAATGTAATTCATTCATCAAAATTAAAAATGTCGAGCACATTCATGCTGAAATGTGGTGAGTCCATGAAATGTATCGAAGCCTGCAAGCTAGTTCAGGCAGTCAACTATAGCACCAATGATTCATCAACATTTGACATTCTCCCTAATCTCTATTTAAGCTGTTAGATTTACCATCTCCCTCTCTAGCTTCATAATTCAGGCTTCTAAATGAATGAAATTGAAATATCACATACGGTTTGGGATTTCAGAATTGATGTCACTGGCATTGTCATAACTCTTTGGACAATTATTGTTTAGTGCAAGTGTTTGATGTCCAGCCGCTTACTAAAGCATCTTCCTCTTTGACAGGTTCTACTGTTGAAACATCGAAGCGGTGTCAAAGGCCTGCAGAAGTCCATGACTGATGTCCTCCTGGAGCACCATGAGGAGTGTGCCTGTGTGTGTAAAGATGACTGGGACTGACCTCACTCGTGTAGTAGCTGCCACCAGAATCGCACAGGTCATTAGAAATGAACCTCTGCAGCTGTTGCAACGTTCTGTATCTCATCCACTTCCACTGGGAGCTAACAAGATTGTCCCTTCATCCTATTGTCCTTTCGCTAATTGGATAAAACGGAACAGACTGGAATCTAATAAGTCTTCTGAATGGATTTGACTGCTGTGGAATACCAATAGTGTGCTTTGAGTGCATTTTAGAGACACAACAATTCACTGGAGCAGATCTAGACTATTACCTTTGTGCTCTGAAGACTATTTATTTTTCAGAGATATGAACATTGAGGTGCTTTTTCCTCTTCTTGAGGTCTCTTTAAAGGTTCAGCTAGTGTGGGCTGATAGTGTCATGGAAAATGGGAGCTTCTTTGTTCAAGTACTTTTTTTATGTCCATAAGCGAGCTAGCTCCAGCTGCCTTACTCCCTCTGCTCCTCTATTATTATCATTGGGGCGAAGAACGGTCCTTCTTCATGAGCAGTTTTCCTTTGCTCCCCTCTTGTATCACCACAGATTTAATCTGCAGCCACGGTGTTGCTAAAGCGTCTTGCTAATCAGACTGTTTAATGTGTAAATAATTCACCTACATTTCCTTTCGACCGTTGTGCCTTTTCTGCCAAAGATTCTCAAAGAGAAAAATAATAGTTGCACATGTAGAATCAGCTGGTCGTTACATTTCGACCCTTCTCATGTATCTCAAATCTGCTTGCTTCAGGAACGTCAGGCAACTCTTGCTATGTTTGAGATTGTTCATATTCAATATTTATTTGTTTAATTAAAGGGAAATGTAGGTCCAAAATGTTTTCTTTTTTGCTACATATGTCACTGTAAAGTAGTATAGGCCTCCCGTTTTCATTCTTACTCACCTTACATTGCCATTGTGTTATGGATGGTTTTCAATTTCTATATGCCAAAGTTATTTATCTCTGCCTTTGCAATAACTGTTTGTGTATTTCATTGTATTGAAAGTCAAAAATAAATTCTTCCATTTTTAATTTGGGGTATATTACTTGAGATTCGTGAAACAGAAACAGAGAAATTATATAAATCTTTTTTTTTTTAAACAATGGTTGCATGTAGTCCTAACGCAACATTACGTCACTGGAGGAAACTAGATTTGGATCATTCTTAAGGGAGTTTTCATAATGCTACTAGTTTAGGTAAGTAGTGGATAAAAGGCTGATAAGGAAGACCTGAAGCAAAGATGATCATTCAAATAACCTGAAAGCTATTGCAGAAATGTGAGACAAGAACCAACATTACCGGTCCATTATTCATCTAAGTAGAAACAACATTGTTAGTTTAAATTCATTGTGTTTGAATTCTGCCTGGAATTATCAATCTGATTTTCTTGTAATCCTTCTCTTGGGTTTCGGGTCGAAAGAGACCGAGTGACTTTGTTTTTGATCATAAATATTGTGTTTTTCATCCAATTGCCTCCAGACCTTATGTGATCCTCCACACTAGGCCTCTGAACATACAATTGACGATCACCACTTGCATTGATTTGTTTGTGATTTATTCAACAGTGAAACACCCTTGATGTTTTCCGTCAGAATTGACCGCCATAGGAAATGAATGGGTTTGAGTATATTATGTTCATCCTGCAGATGGAAAACATATCCCCACACACACACACACACACACACACACACACACACACACACACACACACACACACACACACACACACACACACACACACACACACACACACACACACATATTTATTGTGCTTATGTCCCCCCACACCTTCCATCCAGACAAAACAATTTACTCTAAGTTACGGGAACCTCTCACTTTCTCGCGCTGTATCATACAGTACAGTGTATCATACCTTCTCACAGGTGTGAGCTCTTTGCCCCTCGAGAAAGAAAACAAATTGGATAAGGGGTTCCAGAGATATCACTGTGCAAAACACACCGGTCAATTGGGACCGAAAATAGTATGGGAAGGGGGGTCTGACCTAACGCAAGAGAAGGGTTAAAGTATCTCGCATGCTATTATAAAATGAAATCTAAGATAAGATGGATTTATTGAGGGGGCCGCTGTAGGGAAATTCAGGATAATAGTAAATTGAAACCTTCGCTTATTTAAGACGGCGCCACTAAACCTGCGAGGCATAACGTGCAAAATAACCAGATCTACAGTAAGCAATCTGACCTCTGTGTGCACCATTTTAGAGGCAGCTGCTTTCAGTTTTTAAGTGAATAAACATCTGTCTGAATCTCAAAGTCTGCTCTTGGAGAACATNACGGGAACCTCTCACTTTCTCGCGCTGTTCTCACAGGTGCGAGCTCTGTGCCCCTCGACAAAGAGAAATCTCTCACTTTCTCGCAATAAATGCCCCTCCATTACTGTCTCTCATGCAGTTATATGTGTGCCTTGCTCACATTTGACTCATTGACACAATGAGGAGGCGACCGATTAGAGGCTCTGGACAAATGTTTTGAACCAGATGAAGAGGAGAATGAACCAGAAATAGAGGACGATGTCTCAGAAATGGAAGACAACAGCGATCCAGACTATGAGCCTGACCAACAGTCAACAGACCAGGAAGAGGCCCCTGAGGGAGAGGCCCCTGAGGGAGAGGAGCCCTGAATATTTATTTCCCTCTAAATGTTCATTGAGGAAAACACTGAACAGTATCAGTGTCTTCTTTTATATTCATCACAGTGAATGCAGTGAATGCTGAACTTGATGGGCCCGCCGGTGGGTCCGGACCATATACTTTAGTTGAAAGTACACAATGAAACACTGACTTGCTTGTATTAAATCAATACATCCCATACATCATTGGAACGGGAAGAATCTCAGCTACAAAACCAATTAACGCATTTCCATATCCAGTAAACACAGCCTACATGGCAAGCATTTTTATAATATACACTAATGTACTGTAAGCACTATCTTTGAACTTACTGCAAAATTGTAACATGAAATTCACCCCTGTTGTCATTATGTCTGTCACCCCTTGATTCTACTTGCAGTGACTGTTCAAATGAGATGTCAACCATCAAAATTGGATAAGGGGTTCCAGAGATATCACTGTGCAAAACACACCGGTCAATTTTGACCGAAAAAGTATGGGAAGGGGGGTTTGACCTACTGTAACGCAAGAGAAGGACAAAACAGAGGATTTTTTAACAATACGTTATTTTGACTTCATAGCATTCATGCATTCATCTAAATCCAGATTACAAGTTCTTCAAGGAAAATCTAAAACATTTTATAACAAAGTCAAGGGACATTATTTCAACAGCATGTTTAATCATGATGTAAACATTGAGCAGCTACAATAAAGGGGCAGGTTTTGTTGTAAGTTTTAGCATGCTATCATCTGCATAGAAATGTAACAAAATGTAGGATGTTCTTTAGGATGTAGGTTGGCACATAGCACTTAGTTAATTATCCACGTCTGTTTTAATGGGACATTTAAGAGCCTACATTTTTACTAAAATATCAACATAGGGGAAAAAGATATGTCCAAGTTGTGTGGACAGATTCACATTCTTGAACCAATTGACTCGGATTTAAATAACAAATAAAGTAACCTTCAGAGTGATCCTTAGTTATTGGAGATTATGCATTGACGGACATGTGAGTTACTTAATTTTTTCTCATATGACTTTAAAATTACATTAACGTACCCTCAAGCATTATTCATGTTTTCTTTATTTCACAAGCTCCTTATCAGACACAGAGCAGCGTTGTTAAAGCATCCCCTCGGCCATCAGGTCACCCAGGAGGAGGTTCTCATTTGTCCATCTCCCGCTGCTGTCCTGGCCAATTATTCTGATCTAATGTGTGCTCTGGCAGGAATCTACAGTGACGCCAGATGCTACTGCATAAGCCCGCCGGCCCCCAGTTCCCAGTGTGGTTTTTATAATATTAAACAGACTGACTTCCTAAGTCAGTGCAGTGTTTCTTTTCAGAGGTAACCTCACTGCACTGGCACAAGATGTGACACACAGCATGGGCCATTGGTCTGGTTCTTCTAGTGTGTTTGTGTATGCGTGCGTGGGGATGTGTGGAACTACAATACACCACATGACGCTTCCACCCTTCACCCACTGCTCCTTCGCTGTGAAACCAAAGTAGCCTCAGTCATGCTCGACCGCAGCAGAACGGTGCAATTAAAGTGTCTCTACTTAACGTTAGAAACTCGATTTTTATTCATTTTGTCTCTTAGGAAAACCAAACTCTTAACCTGCACCCAACTTAGAAGTGTTGCTCAACTTGTGGGTTGAACAGACAAAGAAAAGGGCAATGCATATAGAAACGCAAACTTTTGAAACATGAAATCCAATCGGCGTTGTCACTTTGCAGTACATTTCACAAGGTATTGCATACAAACACAAAGATGGTACACAGATAGCAACAAGCACAGAATCAGGCTGATGTCCTTTATTTCTTTGGAAGGTTTGACTGGCTCTATCAAAAGATTGAGGCACATTGGTGGTTTCTTTCTGCCTCCGCTACACATGACTCATCTCCACAATCAACACAACACACACAGCTCCAACATCTCCTCCTACAAAGACTTGTTTCATAAAATCACAGAACTAACATCTAATATATTTCAGGTTTGACCTTTCCTCTGATCGTTTGAATAGCTGCAGAGATACAGCCTCCTACACCTTTTCAAATCATTTGAGAAAATAAGAAATGCAAACTCACAGACGTCAGAGTTGTCCCTGGCATTTTGCTGTCAATGGGAATTGTGGAGGTTGCATTGTTTTTTTTATTCTACCTGCTATATCCTCTCCTACATTATTTTAATTAATCATGCACTAAAGTTGAAAATGAATATGTCCCTGATGGCGAATTTCTAAGATTCTGGCAATATGATCTTCTCAGAGAAGTAAAAGTAAAAGTAAAAGAAGAAGAAGATCTGTATTGATCCCCTAGGGGGGACAGTTTTCAATTGTACACTCTGTCTTTATACACACGATCAGGACGTGAACCGCAACCTTTCTTTTCCATGGCCAAGTAAGACTGACCTACTGCCGCCGCAACACAAACAATTATTTCATAGTCTGGGATTTAATTGCCTCCCATAATGTTGTATTGAATTTGTATTTCTGATAGGACACTGGCAAATGTATATGAGAATGCCACAACCCTTTATTTTCAAGTTTGCTCACTTGCTTCCTTGCTGCTTGGTTTGCACAATATTGGTAATACACTCCATCTGTCACAGTTTCTGTTCCCAAGAGCATAAAAACCTTCTGGCCCTCTCTCAAATCTCAACCAGCAGCACTTTGGCAGCCATTACTGTGGTCTTGCAGTTTCCACTTATCTTTGTCATTTCCCATTAACACAAGAAATCCTAGAAAGCACTTTTTATAAGTTCATATCTATTATTTTTAAATATATCAATCTTAATGTAACTTTAATGAAAGCTGACTTTGGATTTGACTCTGACAATTAGGTGTTGTTGTATTTGTATGATCCCTGTCTCCTACAAGAGGAAATTCCCATAAAACCAAACAGCATTCACAATTACATTTTGAGGCAAACACTTTTTCCTCCCCATTACGATTGCAGTTTTTAAATACATGGTTAAGATTGTAAATTAAAACAAAAACAAAACACAACATCAGAATCAGAATAACTTTATTAGACCCACAGAGGGGAAATTTGCATCGTTACAGCAGGAAAGAGCCACATACAGCTTAATGTTATATATGTTAAAAAAAAGTACTAAGTTATGATATAATACAAAATATAATAAAAAAAGAAAATGGTTAAGGTTTGGTAAAAAAATCATAGATTAAAATAAATATGTTTTTTAACATTACAAAGTTCAAGTCTTGAATTAAACTCAGATTCTGATTAGATATGTGGTTTCATACGAGGTAAAAACAAAAATACTTCTAGGGGAATTAATGTATCGGCTCAAATCTATACCATGCTCCTCTGTAAGTGGACTTCCACACAGTTTGATGTAACACATTAGCCATACTTTAAAAGCTGGTATAAAACATGTTTTCCCCAAAACGTAAATTGAAAAAGCAGTGTTTTTGTATAGGCACATTGTTTTCCATGAGATGCTTTTTATCTCTTCTTCTTGTGTTTCCCCTGATGTGGCATCCAAGTGCTGTTAGCAATGCTAATGCTAGCACCTAGCATGCTCCTAATAAAACCATTGGTCACACCTTGCTGCCAGCACTTAGTCAGCTGTACCTGTGTATGTGTATGTGCCATGTCATTTTGGTAACAATTATCCCTGGGTGCCGTTCATAATGGCAGCCCACTGCTCCTAACACTAGGATGGGTCAAATGCAGAGAAACCATTTTGTTACCTAGTACCTGTAGCCTACTATAGTATGTAATGACAATACAAGTGAAACAAATTAAGCACAGATTAGCTGTTATTTCCCACGAC